TTTTGAATTGTGAAACAGGTAAAAATATTGCCTAATCAAAAATAATTTTCTACCTGGGCATGTTGACAAAGCCTGTAATCCCAGCACTCAGGAAGCAAAGACAAAAGGGTCTAGAACTCAAGGCCAGCCTAATTTATACAGCAAGATCTTGTTTCAAAAAAAAAATAAAATTCCTCCAGGAGTATGCTTAATGCCCCAAGGATCAACCAACACCAAAAACATACAATAAATAAAATAATTTCCTAAAATAAAGAGAATGAATATTCAAAGAGTGGAAAAGGGGAAAATAAATTAATATGGTAAATTGAAAAGCTGGACATAGTGCCAGGAGATTAATAGTCCTAGTTAGTCTGGGGTGGGAGGTAGAAGAATCACTGAGCCAAGGACTTCAAGGTCAGTATAAGCAACATTGTGAGACTAGTCTCCAGATAAGAACTGGCTTGTTTTTAAGGTTTCCTTGCAGAGACTGGATTGGACCTCTGCAAAGTCTCTTCCTATATGCTTGTCCCCCTCTGCACCTTATGTTCTAGCTCTTGAGTCAGGCTTTTGCACCATCCTGCTTTCCATACTTTTTTCAGACTGACTCTTCTAACCCGCCCACATCACCTACTACCCACATACACAAATCTAGAGCAGTCCTTTAAAATTCAGATCCAAATTTTACCTCTGAGCTAGCTGCCAGCACCTGGCTCATGCCTATCATCCCAGTTACACAGGAGGCTGAGATCCAGAAGATGGTGTCAAGGCCAACTCCTGACAGAAAAATGTAAGAGATTCCAGCTCCAAAAGAACCAGCAAAAAGCCAGGTTGGAGGTGTAGCTCAAGTTGTAGAGTACCAGCCAATCAAGCAAGCCAAGTAAGGGTGAGATGCTAAGTTGAAACGCTAGTTAACAGAAGAAGAAAAGGATACTTGAGAACAATTCCATGTAGAATAAGGAATTGTTACCATCTTCATTACTTGTACACTGCTCTGGGCTTCTTAAATTGCTAGTTCTCCTAAATTCTGTTCCTTCTCCTTACCTCCCTCCAAAATCTGGTTGAAATGTGTGTGCCATATTTGCCAAAATATCCTAAAAGAAGATGCAGAAAAAGAAAGAACAAACACTCCTCAAGGAAAAACTTCTCCCCATCTTGAAACTAAGACATCTGTATCAAGCCCTTTCCAGGGCTGAAGTAAAATGTTTTTCCTTACTTAACCTTGGCACTCACAAGCCAGCTTTTGATTTTCTCCACAGCAGTCCAGAAAGGCACGATTGATCATATGACCACACAGCTAGAAACTGTCAGCCTAACGTGTCAGGTCACCTTTCCAAATACTTTTGCAAAGGCAGTTCCTAACTGGGTCATGATGCCCGAAGTTGTGTCTGTACATCAGATGCCCCTGTGGGGAAAAGCTACCAAGGCCACCTTTGTTCCATATGCTTTTTATCTGGTTAATGTTTAATACGCCTTTAAAGTTGTCCCTGAAATGGTCCCTGTGAGTTCCAAAGGAATGAATGCTAAGTGTCTTCCACTGTCCATAACAGTCAGAGCTGTGGTCAAACTATAACACCAACTCCTCACAACTCCCAGCTATTCGATTATTCATCTCTGACCAAAAACACTTGAGGATTCCCCAGTTTGCTTTTCTTTCATCTGAATTCTCTCTTTGGCGATAACAGAATCATGAAGAAGCTAGTTTTGTCCACATAAGGAGTCAAGTGGACCTAGGATTATAGGAAAAGAACATTGAGCTAGCTGTTAACTTGTTTTGTGACCCTGAATGAGTAACTCAACTTCTCTGCATTTCATATTGCCTTTCAGGCTTCCTCTGGCTCTAAGATTCTCTGGTTCTATGTGGACCTTTTGGTTCTTATCACTATGATACTTTCCAACTTAACCATTGTTGCTAGTTTTACGGAATGTAGCTTCTGATATATCACACAGACTCAGTATTTGTTTCTTTCCACTGCTGAATTGTCTACTCATGGGCTATAAATGCCAGTAAATTGAGGACCTGGCACAATTCGGATTCTGCCTGGACTTTTCAAAAAGCCAGATGGCATTAGATTTTTGAGTGCCAATTGTGCCTGCTTCTACAAATTCTGATCTAATAGAAATCACCCATCTGAGGTCAGCTGATTGTTTAGACAGATTTGATAAAAGGAAGTTAGAGTCTTTTTTTTTCATGGTGTCTTCACACTCCATGTGGATGTCTTTCAAAGTAGGAAATAAAGTCTAAACCATCAATTAGTTGGCATTCAGTTTTTCTTCTTCTCTCACACAAGTAATCAACAGAGAAAGTATATGAGGCTGGGCATGGTGATTTATATTACATGGTAATCCCAACACTCAGAAGGCAAAGGCAGGAATCTCAAGAGTTCTAGTACAGTCTGGGCTACATAGTGATTTCAGGTCAGTCTAGGCTACATAGTAAGATCCTGACTGAAAACAAAAAACAAAAAACAGATATTAGTGACTCACACCTATAATCAATCCTACCTACTCAGGAGGCTAAGATCTGAAAATCTTAGTTCAAAGCCAGCCTAGTCAGGGAAGTCCATGAGACTCTTAACTCCAGTTAACTACTAAAAAACCAGAAATGGTGCTGTGGCTCAAAGTGGTAGAGCACTAACCTTGAATAAAAACAAGTTCAGGGACAGTACCCAGGCCCTGAGTTCAAGCCCCAGGACTGGCATGCCCATGCACGCTAGTGTGCACACACATATACACAAACAAACACATATTATTTTAAAAGGGACGAAGTTTTGTACCCCGATTTCCAAGGCAGACATCCCAGCACTCATTCAGATAGGCTAGGAGTCTTTATTGCTGCGCAGTGACTGAGCTGGTGCACACAGCTTAGAGTGCAGCCCCAAAATGCAGACCTGCTGGGTATTTAAGGGCACAAACCACATGCTGGTGGCCTTTTTTGCAATAAGCCAGAGCAAGCAAGTTGGGGGTACAGAAGCAGAATTACGCCCTTAGCAGGAATTTGGTGCTGGGGGTACAGAAGAGAGAATTACACAGTTGGGAGGAATTTGGCGGTTGTGCTTGGTTTCCCTCTCATCCATTTCTTGGATCTGCAGAGGTCAGGTTTGATTCCGGTTATTCAGGTCATTGTGCCTTCTGGGTCACCCCTGGCTGGAGAGTCCCTCATGGTGGAGGCTGATAGTTTATACTATTTACTGAATTCCAGTAACCCAGTGTTTAACTCCCTAATTTACTTCAAGCCTTTATCTTTGGAATTTTCCCTTTAATAATTAACCTGGAGTTTCCCTCTACAAAGAGGTTCTGCCTTTAATGTTTTGCCCTTATTCTTAAAAATCAATAATTTTTCTGTTTCTGATTTCACATTTTACATTCTTTTTGTGGGAGTCATCACGTGGGATTTCACCCCAGCAGCAAACAAGCGATCCATTCTATATGCCTATAGATACCAGCTGGGCATCTAGAGTTCAGCTAATTCTGACACCATCTAACTAGACACAGCACCAAATCCCACAGGTTGAGGGCTCACCCTCAAGCCTCACCCCCTCTGTCAAGCCCTAGATTATTTTAGCTATGCTTCTGACTAGCTAGCTATAAGTAAGATTCCTACAACCACCTCCTCAAGTTCTATTTATTTGTGAGAGTGGCTCATAGGACCTGGAAGATACTTATGTTTACTAGTTTATTACAAAAAGATATTTCAAAGGATACAAAAGAAGAGGCATACAGGGAGAGATTTGGGAGAAGAAACACAGAGCTTCCTTGCCTCCTCTGGGTACACCACCCTCCAGAAACTCCACATAGCCAGCATTCTGCAAGGTTTCCACACCCTGTGTTTTGGGGGTTTATGGAGTCTTTGTTACCCAGGCAGGATTGATTCATTCACTCACTGACAATCTGTACCCTCCTCAACTTTCAGCACCTTTCTCCTCCCCCAAAGTTAGAGGGTGGGACTAAAAAGTACAGTCATGCTTTGGTATTTCCTGTGACCCACATTCATCCTGAAGCTACCAGTCATCTTCTTAATATTCAAAGAAACCTTACTTTGGAGATTCCAAGAATATAGGAGTTGTATGCCCAGAAACTGGGAAGAAGACCAAATATATTTCACAATATCATAGTCAAATAAGAGAAGCCAAAATTCCAGACCAACAACTGCTCTGCATAGGAGAGCTGAGATCTGAAGGGGGAATTTTTCTGCTTGCTGTGATTTAATTATGGCTTTGTGATTCAGAGAAGGTGGAAACAATATGAATGAGCCAGCTTTCAGGACCAGCTGTCAAGCACTTGCTTTGTAATCTGCTGTCATCCCACTTGTCCTAGGAGCTCCCAGTTTGACAGCTCACCAGCTAGATAGTTTCACCCTGCTCTGGATTTACGCCCTGGGGGCTCTGAGGCTCTTGGTGACACTGTGAAAGGGCACCCAGCAGAGGCAGTTACCATCCCAGGGTTTGAGTCATAATGACTTAGCAGCCCTGGTTTTCCTTCCTGTAGTACATAGACCAGCAGCGCCCTCTCCATGCCGAGATAGGACATCATCTGTCACTGTTTAGTGAGAAGATGGCATTTCTAATTAGTTCTTACTGCAGCCTCCAGAGGTCCCTGTTCTATAACCACTTAATACCAGCTGGGCGAGCTTACTAAAAGCTGTCAGGAGCTCTCACTACCCTCCTTGAATATGACTTAATGGTTCATTTAGAGCAAAGAACACTGTCTTCATGGGAAAAGGGGTAAATGTAAGAATAACCAGACAACCGGCTGTGGACACTGCATGGAATGAGTGCAATAAAGAGAGAATGGGAAGATAATCCCAGATTATAGCAGTTAAAGCAGAAGGTAGGTATGACATGCAGAGAAAGGAATGGAATAGCATCCTGAGTAGCAGGGATTACAGATGTGGTCATCATGCCTGGTCTCATTTTCTTAAATATGACATCAACACCATTGAAAACTTCTGAGCAGTTTATCCACTAAGAGAAAGCAAAAACAGAAGTCTTTCTGCTGTGTTAATTCAGTATCTCCTCTTTCAGTGACCATGCAGCAGGTGGCCAGGACCGTAGCTAAAGTGGAACTCTCAGACCACGTGTGTGATGTGGTGTTTGCGCTCTTTGATTGTGACGGTGAGTGGGCCTTCTGGAATCAGAAGAGAACGCAGAGCAGCACAGTCCTTCTAGACATGGCTTCCAATGGAGCCTGGCAGGTAGCAACATTATACTAGCCATGCCTCCCAGAGATTGGCCCTCAGCCTCAGGAGATTGAGAAATATAACACAGGGATTGCATTCTCCACTTCTGGCAATTCCAATATGCCTGTGGTTTACATGAATGGTCAGGAGGATCTCAACAACAGAGGGATTGAAGGTGTGGCTCATGTGGCAGAGCACCAGCCAATGACCAAAAGCACCAGATACTGAGTTTAAGTTCTGGTCGCAGACAGAGAGAGAGAGGAGAGAGAAATCTGTGTTTCCCCACAATCCTAACGTAGCCCAAATAAACATAATCTCCTTGGGAAAAGAAAATGAAAATGAAAATGGTAAACCCAGCTTGTTGTTTAGTAGAGAAAGGGCACTCAAGTATTATAATGTCTCTAGAAAGAAGGTACCTATCTCCTTATACAGAATATAGTATATGTGAGGTCCTGTGGCAGATGTTGAGAATCAGATAGGCTAAGAAGATCTCACCCAGCTGGGCATAGTACAAACAAAATCAGGTTTCCCAAAGTAGCAAGAATTTACAGGTAAAGGGGAGTGAGCTAGAAGAAGCCTCCCATGTAGGGAACAGTGTAACCAAAGGTAAGCAGGAGCACAGACCTGCAGGCTGAGCTCTGTCAGCCTGTTGAGTTTACTTGCCCTGTCTCCAGCCCTGGGTCAACGTCCTCCACTACTTGGAATTGTCTGGCAGCCATGCTGCTTTCCTTTGTGCCCACAGCATCCTGTGTTCCATGCTGATGCCATAATTTGTCTCTCCCACACCCTGCAAGTATTTCAAGGGACAAAACACAAAGTCTGCTTATTTCTTTATTTTCAGTAGTGAGCATAGGACCTGACAGACACTATATTCCCATTCATCTTGTGTCATACTACACTGCACGCATCACTGAATTACATTTGGAAATGACAAGAAAGAAGTGAACTAGTTCGTCCTGAGCCATGAGAATCCAGTTTGGCTATAAGAGCATGTTCAACCCACATGGTGTGAACAGTGAGATTGTCTGTGACTTTGTTCCAAGGCCTCCACTTACGCTGTTGTGTTTGTTTCTTTATCTAGGCAATGGAGAGCTGAGCAATAAGGAATTTGTTTCCATCATGAAGCAACGGCTGATGAGAGGTCTAGAGAAGCCCAAAGACATGGGCTTCACCCGCCTCATGCAGGCCATGTGGAAATGTGCACAGGAAACTGCCTGGGACTTTGCTCTGCCCAAATAGTAACCCAAAACTTCAAAAGGGTGCCATCTCTTGCACCCCAAAGACCCCGGATCCTCCAGAGCAGCCTCTGCATAGCCCTTTGTGCTGCTGCTTTGGGGACTAGTGCTCCCTGCTTCCTGGGAATGACCTCAGGGTTCCACTAGCTTCCCCTCTTCCCACTTTCCCTGTCCCAGAGCTCTGCTAGGCCCCTTCACCACCTAAAAATCTTCCACACACCTGCCAGCCCTGGGAAACAGCCAGTTCTCAAATCATTTCTGCCATGGGTTTAGATGAACAAGAATATCCCTTGCTCTTCCTCCTGCTACTGTTTTTAAGTGGCAAGTTGGAAAAATCAAGTCAGACAAGAAGTGATGAATGATAATGAAGATGACCCCAGCATCCTGAGTTGGCAGGAAGCCTGGCCTGAAAAAGAATCTGTGTCAGACACAGGGCAGCTCTAATATTCCCAGAAGGCCTTGTGCTCAATGAGAACAGAGTAGAAATCCAAATTTAAGTAGCTGCTTCATGACCCTCTCCACTCCCTTCTTTTCCTCAAAGGCACCCCAAGATGCCTCCATCCGGACTGTTAATTAGAGCCATGGCTGAGCTATGGTTCCCTGCAGGTGCCGTCTCCCCTGCCATGGCCTCCGCAGTGGAGGCCTGCCTCGGCATGTCTGCCCTCTGTCCTAAACACTCATAAAGTATTACTTTAATTATAACAGTTTTCAGTAAACCCCAAAAGGCTCCCATCTCCTTTATTTTAGAATCCTCTGAACCCTTCTCATCTTCTCTGCTGGGTTTTGGGACCCGCTAGCAGCAGTTTGCCTGATGACAGCACAGAGGTGTTTAGAGGTTCATAGCGACACTGGCCTGGCACAGTTTGGCTAATGTGTCATTCACAGTCATGGCACAACAGTCCTTGATTATTCATAGACCATGATAGGGAACTAAGGGGGATGCAGTGTATGAAGAATCATCTGTTATTGGGGAACTAAATTTTAACCATAACAATGTGTCTGATGAACCCAGCTCTGCCACTAACTCAGGGTGGCATTGAGCAAGTCTGTTTCCTCATTTGTTAAATGACAGGTTGATCTAAATGGGCTCTAAGGTTCCTCAGACTCTGCCTCTGCTTCAGATCTCCAAAATTCCTGAAGCCTCCAGGATCTCCAGGTAATTCTCCCTGTCATGGCTGCCATAGCAATGATCACACTCAAAACCCAGGGCTGGGCTCTGAGGGTGGGGTAGGGAGTGCTTGGCAGCCAAAGAGACAAAGAGGCCTCTGTCTATACCTATGGCTGTCCAAGGAAGATTTCTGGTCCTGGCACTTCCTCTACAACCATTTAACAGCCTCATTTCTAATGTCCTTACTGGGAGATTAGACTCTCCAAAAGGTCTGCCGCTCTCCCATCTCATCTACCTCACATCTTTCCAGATCCAAGTGTGGGCTTTGCCCTGGCTCATTGCCCTTGGTCTTGGGCATTAACAGTGTGATTATTTCTTGTTTACTCCATCATGAAAGAGATGTCCCACTCCTAGCTTCTGTGGGACATTTACTCCCCCTACAAGAAGAGACCTTCAGGAAGGACTTCTGGGCTTCCTTGGCTTTGGGTTCCCATGCCCCAAGACAAGTAAGGAAAATACAGAAATTGCTACTAAACAAAAAGAGGCTTAAGCTGGGTACTGGTGGCTCATGCCTGTAATCCTAGTTATTCAGGAGGCTGAGATCTGCGGATCACCATTCAAAGCCAGCCTGGCAGGAAAGTCCATGAGACTCTTACCAATAAATCACTAGAAAACCAGAAGTGGCGCTGTGACTCAAGTGGTAGAGCCTTAAGAGGCTTAAGAAGTGCCCTACCTAGTTTAGCTCTGGTTGAGCACATCATCCAGATAACAGTGACATTTACACAATGACTGCCACCAGACAATGAAGAAGTACAGCCCCTTGGGAGCCAGGAGCCCAATCTTGGAGCATTCTGGAGGTTTTCCCACAGCCCAAGCCTGAAGGGGTAAGAGTTATGTGCTGGAGGGAAGAGTCAGCGGCTTCTTACAGGCCTCCAGTGCCACCTGCTGGCAAAAAGACTTAGTACAATGATGCACTGTACTGGACACTGGGAGGGAAGGGTACTGGAGTCCTCTCCTGAGAATAGGGCTTTCCAAAGAGCCACCGGGAAGTATGCCACCATGGAGCAGTACAGAAGGAACCATGAAGAGAGGCACTATGTATATGACTACAAATGAAGGAAAAAAACTAGTGTGAAGCTGGGTTCTAGTGGCTCACACCTGTAATCCTAGCTACCCAGAAGGCTGAGATCTGAGAATCATGGTTTGAAACCAGCACATGTAAAAAAAGTCCCCATGAGAATCTTATTTCCAATAACCTCAAAAAAGCCAGAAGTGGCACTGTGGCTCAAGTGGTAGAGCGCTAGCCTTGAGCACAAAGAGGCTCAGGGACAGCACCCAGGCATTGAGTTCAAGCCCCAGGACTGGCAAAACAAAAAACAAACAAACAAACAAAAACCATAAACTATTGTGAACTGTTTTCTGACCTCCAGATGGGAAATTTTACTAGCAAATAAGGGTGCAATTTCCTCTTCATTCTCTAGCCCTTTGCTGAAGACCAGGCACTGCAGTGCTTTCAAGGTTTCTGCATCCAGTGAGCAAAACAGGGACATGCAATCAAGCTAGGTACAGGCAGGCCATTGTGTGAGCAACTGAAAAGTGAGAGAGCCACCTGCCCCACAAGGGAGTTCAAAGCAGACTTGCAGAGAAGTGGGTTTTTTTTTTTAATTAAGACTTAGGAGTTACATGGGAAAGCAGGCATTACCAATGAGGAGTTTCAGGCAGAAGTCAGAAAAACACATGTCATCCTGGGAACTGAAGTTCTAGAGAGTTTCTAAGAAATGATTTTGTAATCTAACAATCAAGATAATAACATTCCCTAAAGATTTTTTTTTTAATGTACTAAGCCCTGGTGTCTCACACCTGTAAATCCTAGCTACTCAGGAGGTGGAGATCTGAAGATGGAGGTTCGAAGCTAAATCCAAGAGACTCTTATCTCCAATTAACCAGCAAAAAGCTGGAAGTGGAGGCATGACTCAAGCAGTACAGCAAAACAGCTAAATGAGAGCTCAAGGCCCTGCATTCAAGCCCCAAAATCTGCACCCAAAAAACAGGAGAGTGGAGAGGCTGGAGGTATAGTTTAGTGATCGACTGAGCATGTGTGAGGGCCTACGCTCAACCCCCAGCAAAAAAGAAAAGATTTGTGGGTCACAACTGAATGGTAAAAAGGAACTTGTGTACTTATCCATAGAAGATAAGCTCATGATAAGCTATAGCCGAGATAGTGAAGCACATGTAAGATTTTCTCTTTTTGTTTTTTTTGTTTTTTTGTCAACATGCCACATGATCTCAGGAACTTTCATAGGTAGGTATGTGGCCTCAGAGCCACACTCAACACCCAATATTAGGAATTGGGAGTACTGGGGATTGAACTCAGGGCTTTACACTTGTTGGACAGTACTCTACCACTTGAGTCACACCTCCAGCCCCTTTTTGCATGGTTTTGTTTTTTGTTGGTGGTGGTGTTTTGTGTGTGTGGGTTTGTGGGTTTTGTATTTTGTCGGTCCTGGGGCTAGAGTTCAGGGCCTGAGCTCCTGTCCCTGAACTCTTTTACTCAAGGCTAGTGCTCTACCACTTTGAGCCACGGTGCCACTGGTGGTTTTTTTCTGATGGTTAATTGGAGATAAGAATCACATGGAAGCTGGGCACTGGTGGCTCACGCCTGTAATCCTAGCTACTCAGGAGGCTGAGATCTGAGGATCTCGGTTCAAAGCCAGCTCGGGCAGGAGAGACCATGAGACTCCTATCGCCAATAAACCACCAGAAAACCGGAAGTGGCGCTGTAGCTCAAGTGGTAGAGCACTCGCCTTGAGCTGAAGAGCTGAGGGACAGCGCCCAGGCCCAGAGTTCAAGCCCCACGACCGACAAAAAAAAAAAAAGAATCACATGGACTTTCACACCCAAGCTAGCTTTGAACCAATTCTCAGATCCCAGCCTCCTAAGTGGCTAGGATTACAAATGTGAGCCACCAGCATGGTACATAGATTATTTTCAAGATAGGGTCTCTATGCAAGTCTGAGCAGGCAGCTGAGCTATGATCGTGTACTTCTCCATGTTTCTAGAGATGATAGGTATACACCACCACACACAGCCATTGGTTGAGATGATGTCTCAAATTTTTATACCTGGGCTGGCCTCGAACCATGATCTCCTGAGCTTTACCTCCCAAGTAGCTAAGACTAAAGGCTTGAGCCACTTTGCCTGGCTAGAAATTTTTAAATGCATGATAATTACAGATACTGTGGCAGTTTAAAAGTAAAAATATAAGCCTGGTGCTAGGGTCTCCGGTCTGTAATCTTAGTTACTCAGAAAGCTAAGATCTGAAGCCAACAGGGCAGATAGGGACTTTTATCTGAAAATTAAGCACCAAAAAGCTGGAGGCAGCAGGCCCGAGATGCTCACACCTGTCATCCTAGTTACTCAGGAGGCTGACACCTGAGGATCATGGTTCAAAGTCAGCCTGGGCAGGAAAGTCTTATCTCCAATAAGCCACCAGAAAACCAAAAGTGGTGCTGTGTTCAAATGGTAGAGCACTTGCCTTGAGCTGAAGAGCTGAGGGAAAGCAACCAGGTCCACAGTTCAAGCACCACGACCAAAAGAAAAAAAAACTGGAGGCAGAACTGTGGCTCAAGTTTTAGAGTACTGGCCTTGAGCAAAAAAGCTAAGAGACAGCACTCAGGCTCTGAGTTCAAGCTCCAGTAGAGGCAGGCAATAATCAAAACTATTGGGCTGTCTGAGATATCAGGCTTTTGGCTCAGGCCATAAGGCAAGGTCTCCATCTTGGAATAGCTGGAAACAGAATGTAGCAAGGATGCCAGCTGTGCAGGACAAAAAGTTTCTCTAACCCTACACACAGCTAACAACTCCCCTGTGAACCCCTCTGGAGTTTACATAGTCCCACTGTGGAACTCACCATCATATGATCTTGTAGTTCTTCTATTCCTTTCTCCCTTTCTAGACCAAACTCCAGGTGCTGTCTGTTGTGCATCTCAAAATCCCTACAGCACCTAACAGTGCCTGACTTCCAAGAAAGACACATGACTGCTAAATCAATTCTCTCACTTCACAGAGGAGATAGGGTTTAAACTGAGTTCTAAAGAATGAGTTCTGCTTGGATAGACTGAAAAGATAATTAAAGAGAGGCATATAGATTGCTGAGGTGAGAGGTATCTTGGTAGAGATGGAGAAGGATGGTAGAAGATAAAATTTTGTTATAGTAGATTGAGAATTCTGTCTCTCCAATGGAGAGAGATGTGGAAGCAGATGTCCGGTTCATGCAAGGCTGGGTTCAGTCCAGAAGCAAAGTTAAGTACTGTTAAGATTCACTGGTTGATTCACTTTGCCAGTGGTGTTTGGGTAACTGTGAAGAAGGTAAGTAAAGATTTGTGTCTCATCTGTCTAGAT